TGAGGAGCCAGTGCAGAATTTTAAATGAAGTGTGATTTGATGGAGCTTGTGTTTTGAGAAGCTCACCCTGGCAGCAGTGCAGAGGACAGATGAGAGTGGCTGTTGAGAAAGAGGCACAAGTTCAAGGCTAATTCAATTAGCCAGACAAGAAATAAAAATGACAAAACCAAAGACAACAACTGCAGAAATTGTGCCAAATCATCTTCAATGGTCATCACACCTCCAAAATACTACAGTCAGCAATTATCTGCTTTTTAGTTTATTCTATTAACATGTGACTTGTGTAGTATCAAAAAGTGATGTTTGTTGCATGGGCACAAACAATTGGTTTCCTTTTTTTTTTTTTAAACAATTGGTTTCTACATCAGAAACATATGAGCAAATGTCATCTATTAATTTATCTTGTTTTATGATCATAAATTGCCTTGACTTTCCACAATAATGATTATCCTAGAATGAAGTTCAGCATTGAAAACTGAAAATTATTACATCATGGCACCTTCCTCTATCCCAAAACTCCCTGGACCCGGACCTGAGGTTCTGAAAATCAGGTATACCTCCACAGGGCCAGCAGGGTGAGGGACTGGAGGGGCCAAAGACGTTGTTGGTTCATTTTTATCTTCTGAGGTCACCAGGGATTAGCCTGATAGCTGCCCTTATATTACAGAACACAGTCCAATTGCCAAGTCTTTCTTTTGTCTTCCTTTCCCTAAAGCAAGTACAGAACCAAGGAATCACCTCTTCAGAAATATGCTTTATAAACACTATTTCTTTCTTGGGCTATTTAAATGCTTTTTAATGAATAATTTTGTTAGCTAAAATCTTATTTCTATTGAATAAATAAGGGACGCATGGAGCAGAACAGAAGCCTACCCAAAGTCACTCAGTTAATCAGCATCCCAGTTGACCTTATACCCAACATTACAGCTAGTACAATTAATTAGTAGATGTTCAGTGAGACCTTAAATTTCAGTCCAGGATGCCACCAGATATTGTTTTTGTAAACAAAAGATAAGTCAATCCTATTTTATGGGAGTTAGGAAAGTAGAATAAAAAAGAAAATAAATGTTAAAATTAATCTGAGAAGTGAAAAATAAGTAAAATAAGTAAAACTTTTAACCATCAAAGCCAGAAACATTATAGTTTTATGTTCACTTTTAGCAAATAATGTTCTCACTGATGTTTCATAAAACATGAAATTACATATACAATATTTTTCTAGTTCCAAGAAATTTTGTACATTAGTTATTTATAAAGCAATGTCTTCTACAGTAAGCCCACCCCTCGTTACCTTATTTTTCCTAGGACCATATCTCCAAGATTTTCTTTTTCTTTTTTATGCTAAAAGAAACTAGTAACTCTTGTGACTAATGTCCCAAGATATAAACTCTCAAATAAACACAAACTGTGTAACACTACACGATATAAAACATTTTTCCGGGAACAAATATTAATCTTATCTGGCACATCCTAATATATTTGGGGCCATAAATTCTGCTTTACTCATCCATTAGATTTTCTTCATGAGCCTCTTTTTTAAAATAGACATGTAGTGGTTAAATAAATAAACCAGGTCTCCACAACAACAATTTCAAATATCATCTGTCTCTTTAGAAACAGTGTGCTGACAGAGACTGATCTAGTCCTATTGTTAGATTTCTTTTTTTTAATATTTCCCAAATGTCACCATCCTTCAACACAACCAAGAATCAAACAAAACAAATAAATACATATTCCAAGGGCATTTATTTGGGAAGGGTTTTATTCTCAGAAGGACAAAGTGTTTCATAGATCCAGCATTTCCCAGGGGCTGATTGGAAATGAGCTTACAAGACACATGCACAAGCAGACTCACTCACATGTTCTTCCCATAAACTAAAACAATAAGGAAGAAAGTCAAAACAAATCTCCTGCACTGAGAAAAGATGGTATGTTATTTTTAAGAAAAACTAAGGTTTGTGATTTTTTTTCCTTTGAGCATCTCACTAAAACTGGCATTTCCATTACACTTATAAATAGGAGATTTACACTTGCACTCCTAGTTCAAGAAAAGTCACAGAACAGGATTTAGGCTAGAAGACACTTCTGAGCTGTAGGAAGGAAAGTTCAGATTATTTAAAATCATAAACCAAGCTGACAATCATATTCATCATTTATTGGGCATTTGCTATATGCCAGGCACTGTACTAGGGGATTGTCTGTAAGAGCTTATCACAATCTAGTAAAATAGGTGTAATCCACATGGCTTACAGATAAGAAAAGTCAGATTAAAGGAGTAATTTTCCCAAGATAACACAACCACTGAATAGCCAGACCTGGACTCAAAGTCATATCCTCTTCAGTCATTTATTCCACAAACATTTGATAAGCACCTGCAATGAGCCAGGCACTGCTCTCGGACCTGGTAAAATAGCAGGGAGCTTACGTTCAGGTAGGGGAAAAGACAATAGACAAATAAGTATGTATGTATATATAAGTAGATATAGATACACCATGTAGTCAGGGAATAAGGATTATCACAAAGGAAAACGAAGCAGACTGAGAGGACAGTGACAGAACAAGGGGTGCCATTTTTGGATGAGGTGTGCAGGGAAGACTTCTCAGGAAGGTAATGACTGAGTAGGCCAGAATGCCATAAGTTAAAAAAAAGGCCTTCAGAGGAAGGAGCTTTCTAAGCAAATGGAAAAGTGAGAGCAAAAGCTGTGGGGTGGGGGTGATGAGTGCAAGGTGTTGGAGCAACAATAGTAGAGATGTGGGGTGAAACAGTGAGCAAGTGGGAGCAGGAGAAGAGATGAGGCTGGAGGTGCAACCAATGGAAATAACTCTGGATCCTACTGTAAAGAAACGAGAAGAAGCTGGGGAGTTTTAAGCAGTTGATGAGATCCTCTGTTTCACTCCAAAGCCAGTGTTCCTTCTGCTTCACTTCCATCCCCCAAGGAGACAATTTCCCCTCTCACTTACCCAGAACCTGCTTCTGTCCTCAGACCCAAAGTGCCCTAGCCTATTTCCCTGACAACAATCTTATAGTTACATGGCCACTAATGGCTTGTTACTGTTATTCTTCCTTCTCTCTCTATGGGAATGTATGAGCCTTATATCTCCTCTGCTAAGAGCAGCTTTCTGAGTCCTCCCTGGAAGTCACCACCCTGAGTTGACTAAAGAAGACTAAACAGACATTCCAAGACACTTCTCTGTGAATACAACATCCCCATCGATATTGTACCTTGATCTTTGTCATCATGGAGCATGATTAATTCAGTTTCATAATCCCAGCCACATCTTCCAGGACAGAGGACAAATAGAACCCCTGTTGTGTTCTGGATACTTCTAGGAGCTGAAGAAAGAACAGCAATATAAAGTCAATCTCCACAGAGTTTACAGCCTATATGCATCTATACAGTGATTATCAACCAGGAAAGGGTGAGAGGACATTTATAGTTTGAAGAAGTGATTAAATTAAATATTTGGTTTGTTTTTAGTCACAATATTTTGTTAATTTTAAAATGTAAAATAAGTTTAAAGGAGGGCATGCTTTGTGTATACTGAGAGAAAATAGGCTTTAAAAAGCTAAAAATAGTAGAACAGAGGACTTCAGTAGTAAGACCCTTATTTTTGTTATGTAAACTGAAATAGTAACTCTAAAGCAGGAATTTCAAATGATAAAACAGGGGAACTGCCATAAAACCCCCTAGGGGAGATGACTTGAGGGAAGCAGAATCTCCTCAGATCACTAACTACTTCCCATATGCAAGGGTCAGCACCATTCAAACATAGGATTCTGTGTACCCCCAACTCAGTGGTTTACATCTTCCATTCTTATTGGTGTTGCTTTGAGGTACTTCCCTACCCAAGACCATTAGATATTCTTATGAAGTTATATTTTGCCTCTTCTCTTTATTAAAAACTAATTCTAAGGGTAGGGCAATCTAGACATCCAGATCTTCTTTAAGGCACATAGCACAGTGCAGGCCAGACATCAGAGCCTCAAAATTATTGACCAATTCATTTTCTCATCTCCTACTCGTCAACTGCCTATAGGCATATGTGTGTGATATATCATATAACGTACATATATCACATATAAATTATACATGTATATATAAATGTGTACATATTATACATGTATGTCCACATCTATATAAATATATCTTATATTTGGTAACTGCTTATTTTTATCACAAGACTTTTTTTTCATCAGAGCTAAAATTCTCCTTTAGCTTCTCATGGTCATAGCTTTTGCTCATGGTCATTATCCCAAGATTTTTGTGCCTTGATATTTTTTTTCATCATGAAGCAAGATTAATTCCGAATCACAGTCATAGCTACACCTTCCAGGGCAAAGGACAATGCTCAGACCATCGTTTCTCTAGGGTGACAGGATGTTTTCTGGACATTGACCCCCAATGTCTCTTTCTTTCATCCTTTCAGAAATAAAACATTGTCAAGGAAAACCTCACAGTCACTAAAATCCCTGGAAGGAGTTGAGGTGGAGGTGGTGAAGTGGGGACCTTCTGACCCATCTTCAGACGGTTAGTTGTGGAGAACCACCTTTTCCATGCTGACATTAACACTGTCTTCTCAGTGCTTCTCCCACTGGGGTTCCCTGGGCTCAAGAGCACAAGTGTTTCCCAGCCTACTCCCTGGAGAACTAAGCCCAAGAGGAAAGCAATCCAAAAAGTTAAAGACTGGATTGATGCATGAGAAAGAGATTTAAACTGGGACATTTTTATCTTTCAGCTGTTGGATATGGAAAACAAATATATATTCCACTCTCTCCAAGAACAGGTGAAGGCATTTCATAAGCAGATGGTCGGGTTGAGTTTTCCACTCCTTCTATCCCATCTTATCTCTCCCCATTTTTCTGGCAGTAAACTCCTAGCCCTAATTGTTCTCTACAACTCGTGCTTTCTATCAGTATTTATTAAGGAATCCAAAATGTTCTCTGTGTTTGCTGCTGTGTGACTATAAAAGACATTTACCAATGACTGCTTACATTCTAGATGGAAAACAAAAACATGAAATACATACAGAATCTGTACAATAATGACTCAAAAGAGTCCAGGAGTGTTGGTTGGAGGCATTGTGGATGATAGAGACCTAAGCTGAACTTGGAAGGGTCAACAGCATTTGCGTACGGGAATGGCTCAAAGGCCATTCCCAGTGAGGTAAGAGGTAGGCACAAGCAAGATGAGTGGGAAGGTCAAGAAAATATTCGTCTGATTCCATCAGAAGTCACAGCATCAAGGTTCATGTGTGTGTGTACCCAACTTTTATTGCCTACATATTATTCTTCTTTACTCCTCTCTTTCAAAGGTAGGTGAATGGAAGCACACAAGACAAAATGATTCATAACTTGTCAAGGACTTGGCATAATTCAATACAGGGAGATATCCCAAACCAGTACTATCACTGCTCCAGTGAAAAATCACAGATACTCGTCAAAGTGAGAGATAAATGGAACCAGAAGTGGATGTCACTCTACCCACAAAGGAGCAAGAGGAAAATCTCAAGATGGTATTATTTCTTCTCTCCTCTCCCCCACCTTAACTGGAGTTGTTTGCTCCTTCAGATCTTGGTTTCTGCTTTTGTATACCATCTATTCCTATAGCTTTTAAATGAATATGCATAAACTCTGAATCATAAGACTAAAATGAGCACCATTCCAAGAACCCTGAATGTGGCATGGAGATTCACAGCCAGGATATGTAGGCTGGCTGAAAGTGAGGACAGGGGTTCTTCTGTGATCCTGTTTAACACCTACACCTTCTCACCCTAATAATGGACTATTGTGCTTCTCTGGCCTCCATGACTCACCAGTCCTTGGATACAGATAGGTGAAGTTTTCTCATTTGTAAAGGACTTTTTTAACAGGGTGCGGGGGGTGGATCTGGAAACCAGACAATAAGGAACCTCTAAAGCAATATAGTTTTCTGAAGGAGAAAACAGTTACCCCTTAAATATTTTATTCTAAAATTTGGCTGATGGCAGCAACACATTGATTTTAGCCGCTTTGTTTTGCTAGTAAATGATGGCAGGATCAGCTGTGGCTTATGCCTCTCTCACTATAATCAGTTCTAGGCTGAGAGAGGAGGAATTATGCTTGACAGGTAATTAAGAAAACTGACAAGAAATAACATTTGGTCTCTTTGAAGGTGAACTACAGTTTGTAAAAGATAATCTAGATCTAATTTACCAAAACCCCAGATGGCAAAGCTATGAGCAATATCGCCTCTGTTTGGTTTATATTAAATTAATCTTTCCTTACTTTCCATTTACTGTTTTTTAAATTTTAACTTCAACATGGAAAGGAAGGACTAAAACTTTGCACAGGCTGAATTTGGAATACAGCAGCTTCTGGGTCACTGCTGAATATAAGATGTAGAAACACTGACTGGGAATATAGACTGCCTGGGATTGGAATTGAGGCCGACTGATCAATGTCAAAAGAATGAGTGTTCAGTCATGATGCTGAAGAATGAAGGATGAAAGCAACATATACGGGTGCTTGGGTGGCTCAGTGGGTTAAAGCCTCTGCCTTCAGCTAGGGTCATGGTCCCGGGGTCCTGGGATGGACGCCCGCATCGGGCTCTCTACTTAGCGGGGAGCCTGCTTCCCCCCTCTCTCTGCCTGTCTCTCTGTCTATTTGTGATCTCTCTCTCTGTCAAAAAATGATAAAAAAATAAATAAATAAAATCTTAAAAAAAAAAAAGAAAGCAACATATACTAAGATTTCAGCAGTAAGAAATAAAATTGTTGTAGAAACTTACCTTCTTATCAAGTGATGGGAAAAGAAAAAAACTATTGATCCTATCTACAAACCCCTGTGGGAAGTTGTTTATGCCTTAACCACTGTTGGGTGAAAGAAAGGAACCTCATTCTCCTAGGTGTGAAAAGAGATACTTCTCAAAAGTTTGGTCTTCATATAAGTGCTGAGACAATATGGCTCAGATCTTCTGGAAAGGTATCAATTTCAAATATTCTGATTGGGTCCAGGCCAGGAGTAGAAGGAGTTGTCCAGTAAGTGTGCTCATTGATAATCAGTCTTCCCCACTCTTCTCAGACACAACCTAGATCACCCTTTTGTTATGACCTGCTTTCCTTCCATAGAAATGCCTATTTCCCTCATCCAATGTCCAGAAGCAACTCACAGTTTAAGGTTCTTAGAAGCTAAGGATGCAGATCATCTCCACACTGCCTTTGTTTGCTTGGGTCTGCAAAGACAGGATAGAATTTCCATCACTATTCCTAAGACCTGGGGGTGCTATTCCTAACAAATAAGGAAGAAAAGAAAACTTAATATCTCATATTCTTTTCTCTGTCCATTCCGTGGATAAATCAATGACTAAACCTAATGACTTAACATTATGCTCCTAACCTAGGAGAAATTACCTATTGTAACCAAGAGGACAACTACATATTATAAAACACATGCTTTACAAAACCCAAATCTATCTTCCTTATGACAGTTTTGTGGGAGAGCCAGATCCCAGCAGTATTTTGGAGGTGGCTTTCCAGGTTTTCACTTATATATCACTCTTTAGAAACAGTAAGTAGAGTAATGGTTCTCTACTTTGATGTTCTAATGATGGGAGCCATCCATTTGTCAACTTTCCCGTTGTTCTGTTAAGAAGATAAAGGCATGGGGCACCTGGGTGGCTCAGTGGGTTGGGCCTCTGCCTTCAGCTCAGGTCATGATCCCAGGGTCCTGGGATGGAGCCCCACATTGGGCTCTCTGCTCAATGGGGGGCCTGCTTCCCACCTCCCCCCACCCCTGCCTGCCTCTCTGCCTACTTGTGATCTCTGTCTGTAAAATAAATAAATAAATTCTTAAAAAAAAAATTCTTTCTTCCTTAAAAAAAAAAAAAAGAAGATAAAGGCATATAGGATGCTAAGACCAAGACTATCACACAATCAGCCTCAAGAGACCACCTCTCCAAATCCCTTACATCCTCGCAAAAAGCAAACAGGTCTGCAGGAAAAAAGAAAGCAAACCCAAAGCATTTCCTCTCCATCTTCTTTACCTCATGAAAGGTCTATGCCACATTCTCTGTATTTCTGATGGCCATGCCCAGGCTCTCCTTATAAATAGGGGGCATATAAGATTTCCTTAGTCCAGAATGTGAGACCAAATTATCAAATGTGATTGCACCATTTAAGCTGCCTTTCTTTGAATAGAAAACTCTGAACATGGGGGTTAAGGGGGTAGGAGAAGAGTAAATGAAGCAAGATGGGATTGGGAGGGAGATAAACCATAAGTGACTCTTAATCTCACAAAACAAACTGAGGGTTGCTGGGGGGAGGGGGGATGGGAGAGGGGGGATGGGGTTATTATGGACATTGGGGAGGGTATGTGCTATGATGAGTGCGGTGAAGTCTGTAAACCTGGCGATTCACAGACCTGTACCCCTGGGGGAAAAAATATATGTTTATAAAAAAAAATTACAAATGCAAGTTAAAAAAAAAAAAAAAGAAAAAGAAAACTCTGAACGTAGAGCTCCCCCAACCAGGATAGGTGACATCTTAAATTACTCTCGGCTATTACCTTAAATTATCAGTTAACACATCAGAAAGGAAAGAGACCCAAATTAAAAGACTATAACAAAGTGAAAGGTGTTAGAAAGAGAAGAAAGTACCCTGGAGGAGAGTGAAGGAGCCTAGAGAAACAAAAGGACCTAACAAAGAGCATGGGAGACAGATTCTGATCTTTTGATGAGGAGGAATAACTCAGAGCTGGACAACTGTAAAGTAGTGACAATGTTTGGTATTTTTATTTTATTTTATTTATTTGTCAGAGAGAGAGAGAGCATGCAAGCACAAGCAGCGGGAGCAGCAGAGGGAGAGGGAGAAACAGACTCCCCGCCGAACAAGGAGCTGGATGTTGGACTCTATCCCCAGGACCCTGGCATCGTGACATGAGCTGAAGGCAGATGCTCAACTAACTAAGCCACTCAGGCATCCCTAAATGGTAACAAGGTTAACAGCACTCATCTTACAGTGAAGAAGGAATGGGATAATGCATATGTTAAGCACCTTGAATTGCAAAATGCGATATCTATATTGATTTATTTATGTTTAATTCTAAGACTGGCACTTGCTCTGCCACTTAGAATTATTTTACCTGTGTTTGATTACTAGCTTCTAACTCTTTGGAGGAAAGACGCCATGTACATCTAAATACTTATGGTTTATTCAGTCAAATGAATAATTATAGGACATAATACTTTGGACTAAATTTTAATTGAATTGTTATCAACTTGGGATATATGAAGCTAAAACATTTAACTATTTCTCATCTAAACATTTCCTTTTTCTAATTAAATGTTTGGGAAAATGGTAGATTGTTCTATTCGGAATATTTTCATCAACCAGCAGAAAACAGAATTCAACTCAAATCTTAAAAAATGAAGAATCTTCAAAAAAGGACTACTTTTAGAGGTACAGGAAGTTAAGAGAACCAACGAGGCATGTTGAAGCACCTACAGATTAGTACCAGCAGGAAGCCACTACTAATACTGGGCTGAGAGGGCAAGAAGAGCTGGAGGAGAGCAGGAGCTATGGTCATGGAGGAGTGTAAGCTACTGCCAAAGATATGCAGCTAAAGCAAAGCAGTGAAGGTTCTAGGGTAATAAATTCCTTGACCCCATACTTTGATCTCCTGTTGACATTTCCCATTAGTTGAATCTGTTCAGAACCAGAAGCAGAGGAGCCCAGGAGATGCAGTCCCCAGGAATTAGTTTCCAGGGTATGGAGCAGAGAAATAAAGGGGAAAGAATGGATGTAGGATAGAGACAACTAGAGAATAACTAGTACAGGACCACCTTCAACTTGTGAGTCCAAGGGTCTCAGAAGTTATCATTTTGCCTCACATCACAGAATAAAAGATAGAATTTCAAAAGACTAGTCAATATTAGGACAACCCAACATCATGTGCCTCCTGACGTGCTGCACGAAGGAAGACAAAGCATCACATCACATCTCTGATATCCCCACCAAAAATCATAACCCAAATATGATCACAAAAATTCAACTTGAGGAGCATTCTGTAAAATGTTCTTCAAAAAATTTAGGATCATGAAAGATGAAGAATGACAGAAAAAGTGTTCTGCTTTCAAGGAGATAAATGAGACATGAAAACTACATGCAATATGCCTTCCAAATTG